TTCATTTAATTTATATACGTTCATTTTCTACAGTGCGTTCGTCAATAATGGCTAAAGTGTTTTTGAAAGTCTCTACAATACCTAGTAATGAGGAAAGTATATCGAGCAATTTATCGTGTGTTTCTTTTTGTAATTGTAGAGATTGATAATTTGTCCTTTGATTTCCGTTTTTACGATTTTCTAGAATTTATTTTTTTGAAATCGGAACGGTTTCCTATGTGATATTTCCTTTTACCATTAAACAAAGTCCACTCAAAATGGAATTTTTGTAAATCTGAGTCCAAATTCTGCAAGTTTGCGATAAATTTTGCGATTCTGTATTGCGAAGTTTTAAGTATATTTCTTGAAAAACCAATATTCCACCTCATACTATATGAAAGAAGATTTTGAGAGTAAACATTTAAAATACAAGACAAGAAACATAAATAACACAATTTATTGTAGATTACAGTTCTCAACAAACAAAATCTTCCAAAGTTTGGGACAATTGTTTGAATTCGTTCAAAATATTGTTGAAATAAGCAACTTTTTCCTTGCTTCTTTCTCTTTTGCAGTGAGGAGTCGAATCTGAATGTAGGGAGGTTTGTTAACATTGTACATCTTGATCGTGACGCAAATTTGCCTTCTATTGTAAGTTGCTATGTCACACACTTTGTTGCAGTTGGCGAGCTCCTGATTCATAGTTGACTCCCTGTCAGAAATGAGTTCCTATAAAGGAACGAGTCTGAGATTTTCAGCATTGTGAATGACAGTATTTCTAATTGCCGGAAATACTTTTCCTTCTTTTTCACCAAGATAGACTTGCTGTCTCTTTTCGAGTTGTCTCTGATCAATTTTCTAGAATAGTTGAAAGCAGGGTTCGAAATAAAATTTCGCCTTGCAGAATTCTTGAGACCAAAGAAATCTCACAACTGTTAGTTGATTTTCTGAAAAATAGTCATAATTGAGGCTAGACTCTTGTCTTGAATACTTTTTTCCGAAGGAGAACAGACTGATCAGTTGAGGATAAAATAGATAAATGATATTGCGAGAAAATGAAAATGGAAGAAAACGGAACGAATAAAAAAAATAACCAACCACAAACAGAGCTGTATATGGAATTTCGTGTGAAAATTCCAAATTTGGAATTGTGTAGTTTTTAGTCAAAAATTGTCAATTCTAAGCAAAAATCATTTTTCCAGATGGCTGCTGCTATGTGATTTTATTCAGAATAATGTGGAAAAAAAATTGCTACCTACTTCCGTTTCCAGTGAATATAACAAAAAAGATTATTGTGTCTGTACCAACAATTAATTTAACGAAATTTAAAGAAAAAGCAAAAAAGTCACATTTTTAAAAGGAATTTGCAAAGATTTCTCCAAACGTCAAAACTTTAAAACAAGATTTAGTGTTTTTTTTGTTTCAAATGCAACAGCAGATAAGGCAAAAAATTCATGTAAAGGTACAGATCGAATAATGGGGTAAACAGAAAGCTAGGGTGTGATCAAGCACAAAAGCTTAGAACAAAAAAATTCCAGCTCATCCATAAATCTAGAAACATCAAACTTCTTCTCGCTCTGGTAGATGACCACAGATCCATAGAGGTTATAGCTTATTGTCTGACACAAACATTAATACGCAGGTTGGGGCTATGCGAACAGACAGAAAAAAATTCCCGTATAATTTAGCTTCCGATGTCGCCAAAATTTAAAAACAAAAAGAAAGAAGACACACAAAACTAAAACCGTTTCTCCATTTGAAGCACATATAGGACGCACACGCAACACATTTTTATCCATCACAGCAAAAACTAGTTCACTACGTAAACTTAACTTTGGAAATGCAGAATACGCCTGTTTAGATAGAAAAAAATAACGTATCCTCTCACGCCAGAAATCGTGCACGACCTACCATGCGGGTCGAGAGAAGTGAAGAAAACACGTTGGCCTATGAAGAAATTTTCAGAACAGTCAAACACGACCCTAAAGTACGGAAAATGCGAAAATACTCCACAAAAAGTAGGACTGGTGTGAGAACCAGATATTCACCAGCTATGGAAAAGGACGCCCTTAATTTGGGATATAAAGGAACGCAAAAACAGGTGGACAGTAAAATTTAAAAAAACATATGCAACAAGTAGCTAGGAAAACAATCTGTCTCGCAAGAAAATCCTCAGAAATTAAAAATCGATGATAAAAATTTATCATACACACCGCGCATGGCTTGGGTACAAACTTGGGTTAAACAAACTCGCTTACTGAGAAACAGGGGCTTTGCATTCTTTTGACAACTTTGCATGCTTTGCAACGCACAAAAAATTGGACGGCTAAGTGACCATGTGGCGTAAAAAAGCTTAGAGAACAGGTCCATGCTTGCTTTTAATAAACATTGAGCAGCCAAACGCGCCACAGCACCAAATATTCCGGGAGAAAGAAAAGGCGGAACTCCCAAGGAAGTTGTCCCGAAAATAGCAAATTGCCGGGAAAGAGGCGAAATTAGCAGAAGAAGAGAAAAGCAAAACCACGAACTGGCAAACGGACAAGCGTAAAACCAAACCCCAGACAGGCAAGGAGTATAACACGTAAAGACGCAGAAAGAAGAATGCAAAGGAAAAAGATCTCTCGTCAAGCGACAAATGGTCCTCCACAGCATCGGAGAACACAGTATACTCTTCCGAACGACAAGATGCAAAGAAAACACCTCCACAGCCCGCAACCACAGATCCAACAGAAAAGTGCACAGGAAAACGACGGGCCACACCGAGAAACGCAATTTTGATAAATGCAATCGATTACCCAGGAAATTTTTCAGTAGCGTTCCCAGAAAAACAACACACAAGCAACACAAGAAGTTCGAACATCAAGAGCCTAATCTATGAAATGGGTTTCACGAAGGATTTGTCAGAGTCCGTGGCGTGCATGCAAATTCTAAAGACAAAAGGCAGAGAAAAAGGATAACGACAACATCAGCGTCATAGATACCCCCAGAAAATCAAGAGAGCCCGGAGAAAATCACGATAACCGAAAACAAAGGACAAGAGGAAGCGAATACTACAGAGGAATATGAGAAGGTCCACGAGGAGGAAGATGCTTCAATGACACGACACTATAAAACTAAAAATTAGTCCCACAGGACTAATTTTCTTAATAGGGGGGAGTATCAGTCGGCCGGAATAGCATAAAGTAATGTGATGTATTTTATTTATATAGAGATTATTCCGAGGCCAACAAATGGCCTCGACCGATATAGATATAACGTATCGGTGTGCGCTACCGCTCGGCTCCCTTGAATTCAGGATTGTGTTCAATTATTGTTTTTAGTCAGAACTAAATCTAAAATTATATAGCCAATCCGTTTGGATTCTAGAACAGCTCATACTTTACGTCATGACATGGTGGAAGATTTTAACTTCGTCAGCAAAGAGATGGTCGTCAAGCAAATACGTGCAAAAAGTTAGCACAATTTGGAAGCCCAATAAAGGACCAAAGCAAAGTTCTTTCCTTTTATTGGCCCTTAGTTGAAAAAAAAAAGCATTATGAGTTTTTCGAAATTAAAAAAAAACCAAATATTTGATTTTGTTTTGTAAATCACTCCCCCCAGACGCGAAATAAAGTAAAAGGGATAGATTTGGCTCATTGTAACGTAAAAATTATGACTAATAGCTTGTTTCAATCAATTTGGAACCATTTTTTTAAGGGAATAATTTCCACTTGCGCGTTAATAGCGTGAAGTATAACGCGCGTTAATTGTCTCGAATTGGCCATACTGACAATCATTTAACCCTCATAAACTTTTGAAAAACGATCACAGGTAAAATATCTTTTAATTTTTGACAACAATAACTTTTGAAAAATACAAAAATGGCAAGTTAAAAAGTGGAGGAAAAAAACCACCCCCAGCACAAATATTCCGTTTTTTTCGTCACTAAAGTCGGAACACTATTTTTTACAAAGCGTGCAACGGCTCTTTTTCCTTCCCCCCCCCCCACCTCCCACGAGCTTCAATATAATAGTGTAACGAGTGGTTTTACGAGGTTGAGTATGAAGACCAAATATGTTTGTCGTGGCCTTATCAGTCTGTATGTAAATTTTCATAACAATTGGACAATGTGGTCAACAAATTTACTTGTAAAAATTTGCAGGTGGGGGGGAAAAGGAAAAAGAGCCCGCGCAACTTCCAAAACCCTTTAGCATTACAAAAATAATCGGAGGTAAAATATCTTTTCAAATTTGAACTCAGGAAGTCGATATCTTTAATGGGGTTTTAAAATTCCGAGCATAAAATTCCGTTTTCTTCGAAAGTCAGAACAATTAGCATGTTTAAATAACTCTGGAGGTTTTTCTGATACGGGTTGAATATCTGTGCACTCGCTAATAGCACGAGATATATCGAGCGTTAATTGTCCCAATTCTGCCAAAATTGCAACTTTTAAACCCCCATAACTGTAAAAGAAAAGATCGCAAGTGAAATATTTTTTGAATTTGAGAGCAATAGCTTTTGAATGATATTTTAAAAAATCTGTCAGAAATTGCTACTTAAAAAGTCGAAATTCCGTAATTTTGTTGTCAGGATAAAAACAACCAACCCGAACACAACTATTCCGTCTCTTTTTTCGAAAATCGGAAAAATATAGTGTGGTGCAATAACTATATAAGAAACTACGAACGAGTCGCAAAGTCTAAAAACCAATTGAAAAAGCGAAGGAGGTTAAATTTTTAAGTAGCGATTGGGCGTCTTATAACATGTTGGCGTGAGAGAGTGGGCTAAATATGAGAAAAAGGCCAAAATTTCTCCGTCTGTAAAAGTGATTATCAAATTTCAACATGGAATAGTGGAAAATGAAAATCCCAGATAGGAAATTTCGATCTTTCATTTTAGCCCCACCAGATTACAAAAAAAAAATTCCCCCGCACTGTGACTTTTTACCTTTAGCGGGGGGATTGTATAATTTGCTGAGGGGCAGCGTAATGGGAAATGCACGTGAATTTAACTTGTTTGCACTTACTCACACTTATTTGCAGTCGATGTCGAAGTCCTTGTCGGTGATTTCACGATCTCCAGTTCCCCGAAGCAAAGAATACGAGGCAACAAACTGATCATCCACGAAGAGTAAGTTATTTATTTAACTTTTGTTGATTATATTCTCTCCTCCCACCAAAACACCAAATTCAAAGATTCTTTTTTCTAACGATTGTTCTGTGTGTTGTTATTGCTAAGCTTGTTATTTTGTGTCTTTTCACAAAATCTCTCAATATTTCATTGAAAATTTTTTTTACCTGATGTCCGAGTTTAAATTTCCAGTGACATTTTTGTGATCTTATCGATACTGAGCAGCAGTTAAAAATCGAATAAAAGGAAGTGTTTATTGATAGCAAAAAAACATTGTGAAACTTTGTGCATAAAAGGCTTTTCAGTGAAATAATCAAATTTATGCAAGCATTTTGCACATAAATGTTTTTTTTTTGAATGAACAAATAGCAATTAATTTTTGATCCAAATATAAAAAAGCATAAAAAACAGTTGATCAAAAACCTTAAACAAAACATTTAACTTCTTTAAGAGAAAAAAATCTCAGATATTAGCTTTTACCACATACAGTGATCAGTTCCTAATTTTAATCTAGTTTTTTTGCCATCATTGTCCAAAAAAAATTTTCATTTTTTATTCAATCAAGTTTTAGAAGTGTTTCAATCAATTCTTGATTCTTTTTCTTTTACACGGCTTGATATAACTTTTTCGGCGTAATCAGTGGTAATAGTCTTGATTTTTTCATGCTGAACTATGACAATAAAAAATTCTTCTTTTTTTTCTACACTTCGCATAATCATTTTTATGGTGAAACGAAGGGTTTTGAAAGGTGAATATCAAATATGTTTACCACAGCCTTAGTAGTCCGTATGTCAATTTTATTTACAATCGAAGATTGTGAACAAAATTTCACCTGAAATTGTGCCAAAAAGCCCAATGAAATTTGTTTGAAACGAGCTGCTCATCCCATTTGCCAACTTTCATTTTTTAACAATAAGGCACGGAAACCCACTAACATTTATGAAAAGATTTTTTTTTGATTATTTAACATCGCATTTGCTATGTTTAAAACAAAATAAAAAAAATTCCATCTCGTGAGGTTTTTAAAATCAAATAACTAGCCTGTATTGGAGTGCTGAAAATCGCCGCTTAAGCTGTGATTATCACACATTATTTATCCTTAATTTTTTATCACCCAAAGGTTCCTTCCCAATAAAGTCCTCCAGCCTAGCTGAGGGAAATTTTATAGCCTCAGTGTGTGAAAACTTTTTGAACTCGAAACAATCATAGTGCTTTCATTCAGATCGTATGTACTGATCTAAGTGCTGCGTAGAGTTACGATAAGTATATGTTAGTGGAGAGTTAGGGGGTACAAGGAGACCCTCATGTTTTAAGATAGGGAATTAAACATCCGGTCTCCCAGATATGTTTTAAGATAAGGAACAGGTTTCCCAATGTGTTAAGATAGGTTATAGGTTTCTGATGGTATGATGGTAAGTTTCAAAAAATTTTTGAGCCCAACTTTCAAAAAAATTGAAGTTCGAATTTACCAGTACATTATTTTTCAAATTTGTTATACTAGTGTTCTAACCAATTCAATTTATATTGAAATTATCCTGAAATATAAAAGAAACTTTGAAAAAATAGGATTTTTCAGAAAAAAAAAATTGAATTACAAAAAAGTATATAAATCTCTGCAACATAAGGAAATTTACCATAATTTAAACGTTATATCTACAACTTGAATAGTTTAGTATGGATTTAGTATGAAAACTAAATTGCCATTTCATTTTTCTGCAAAAATATAGGGTTTAACATAACAATTTGGCCAATTTCCATTTTCTGATAATTATCGCGTAATCTTTTGCGTTTTCTTATAAAGCGAAAGAGCAAAGATGTACCCAAGAAACTTTTTCAAGTTATTCTGAGCTAATTGATCAAAAGTATAAATTGCTTGATGTAAAAAATTCGCATTGTTTTCACAGAATGTGAGAGATGATTCTCACATAACCTTCTCGAGAACAGTTCTCGAGAAGTCTTTGGGTAGTCAAGGGGTCGAATCACTGAGAGACGAGAAGTCGTCAGCCAACCCGCAACCCTCCTTCCTAAATCGCCACTGAACTAGAAATTGAACTTGAGTCCATTTGAGCTGCAGCAACTGATATTAGGTTTGTAAAATACAAATTTTTGCTATAGATATGAGGCAAAGAACATCCCATTCCGTGACATAGCTCTCATCAAACTTGGTCAGTCAGTAAGTGGTCGTCTCAGCATTCCAATGTGCCAAAAAACGGACTCTGGTCATAGAATGGTAGCCACAGGAATGGGATTGATTGACGTTGAAAAGGAAACTAAAGCCGAAGTTCTGCAAGAAACGGAGCTTGTGGAACTTTATGAAGGATACTATTGCGATGATGAGTCATTTATATGCGCGGGACCAAAAAGAAAGCCAACCAGTGCATGTTTTGGAGACTCAGGGGGTCCGCTAGTTCTTTTAAATGATTCGGGCGATGTCAAATGCCTCTATGGAGTCGCCGATGCGGTGGGTCTTCCCTTCTGTTACAGTCGAACCTACTTCGCACGAGTTTCTTCGTACAGAAATTGGATCGAAAACAACATGTGAACAATAGCTGTCGTAGAGTGGAGTTGAACAAACGCCTGAGTTTTCTCAAAGTTGTGAAAAAACTTTTTCAACAATTAAGCCAAAGGCCAGCTAAAGAAATCACAAGACTTTTATGGGTATATATTTTTAGCAGAAGTAGTTTATTCATTTTTTATTTCAATTTTTATTCAGTTAATTAGTTTATATTTATGTTTTGCATAGTGTTAGTAAATCTTGAGTTAAACATTTTTAGCTAGCTGCAGAACGCATGTCATGTATAGCTTTTAACAATTTTATCGCACGTCTTAAACTTTTGAAATACTTCTGACCTCCAAGCTGAACTATTTAGAAAAAAATTCTTCAATTTTTTGCATTTGCTTCTATGTTGGCGTTTTATGTGTTCTGTTCGATTGAAAAATTACTTGCCAGATCGATGCTGAATAAAAACTGTTTTGAAATTAAAGGCTTAAATTATTGAAAAAAAAACTGGTCTGCGGAAAAAGCCAATCTTTTTGGTTTGCTCATTTGACAGTTCAAATGCCGTTTTGAAAATTCGGCTGTTTTTTTTAAACTCTATTTTATGGTTTCAATATCAGAATTATTTCACAAACTTTAGACGTTGGCTCTTTTCTAGTCCCCCTATCAAATTCAATTTCGAAAAGCTTATTTAACCTTGTCATAATGCAATGAAATTTGTCGTGGTGAACATATCGACAACTCTGAACAGATTTGTATTTCATACTTTACAGCGTAACATCACGAATAACACGTAAAACAAACATAAAACTCGGTATTTTGAAAGGGTGGAAACTGGAAAAGAGCCAAGACGTTGTCCGATAAACTTGTTAAAAGTTATATTTTGAAGATCCAAAACCTTGCAAACATGCATGAGACGTGACGTGCAAGTGAACTGTCGTTTTTTTTTCGAGAAAACCACTGAATTAATAATAAAGGGAGTAAAGCAGAGCGCATTTTATTTTGTAAATAAAAAATGTCAGAACCAACATAGTGAGCTGATAGTTTTTTTTATTGTGCAATTGATTTACATATGATAACATTTTACCGTAGACTTAATAGCTGTGACCTTGATCCTTCAAGCTTTCATTGTGTAAATGAAAGTTACAACATATTAGAGAAATTTTGTTTCCTATAAAAGGGATAGATAAAAGTTGTTTCATCTTGTTTTTCAGGCACAAAAATATGACAGTCGCCCAAAACTTTCAGGAGTGTTCGTCTCAGTACTTGCTTGTCATGCTTAAATTCAAATCGCATTCCTTAGAGCACGCTAAGAAGTTAAGGTATTCAAATATTGGACTATTATTTGAATCAAAATGTGAATTTTTGCAAAGCTGGAAAGTCTAGATGAGAGCTCAGTATCTTACTCTTGGACGTATAGAAAGTGTTTATAGCATTCAAATAGTATTTGATTTTCTGATACTTAAGTATTCAATTTTTTGGCATTGTGCCGGACCAGTAGTGATGATGTCCAGCTATCTGATAATCACTGGTTCAATTCGCATCTGCGTTGCAACTTGCAAGGTGAGCTCTGGCAAATAACTCATAAACTTCAGTTTAGCCTTCGTGCTGATTGACTTGAAGAAAGGGAAAAAAGCTGCTGATCTGAGCAGCCGTTCGTAATAATCCCGACCGCATCCTAAACAATTCCAAAAACCCCCACTGAATTAAAATACAAAAATTAAGAAATAAGTTTGCTTAAGTGTTTAAAAGCATTTGGTAATTGCGGATTGGAAATTTTTTAACAAGGTTGGCAAGAATAACAAATCTTCAAAAAAAGTTATATAAAAAGAGAAAATTGGGCAGCTTGTATCAGAACAAAAAGTTTTTTTTTCGATGGCGATCGGCAAAAAAAGTCGGCTCTTCTCCACTTTCCCCCAGATTTAAGTTTTTCCATTTTCTTAATTGTTTTTTTTTATTTTATAACGGCTAAAAGCAAAATATTACGATGTGAAAATAGAAGACCAAAATTGTTTTACAATTGTTGGTTTCTTCACCATGAAAAATTTCATGCAGTATGAAAAACTTAAAATAGTTTCTACAACTTGAATTTACAATGTAGCAGGAAAATTGAAAACACCCATGAAAGCACAGAAGTGTGTGACTGCCTTCTCCAAATCAAATAAAGCCTGCAATCAATTTGAAGAGAAACTTTGTTTGAACATAATAAGCAACAGTTACAAAAAAAAAGTGGGCAAAAGGAGAAATTAGCTCAATCAAAAAGCGGAAAAGTAATTGAGACAAAATTTACAAAAACCGATTGATGCAGAGAGATAGAGAGAGAGAGGGAGAGAGAGAGTGAGAGAGAGTTTTTCGAGACAACCGCAATATCGACTGGTGGAATAATTTGGTCTACAAAATCATTTGGTCTAAAGAAAATTGATTGCGAAGGAACGAAGGGACTTCGATTATGTCAATACGCTAAATCAAACTTCTAAACAGTTTTTATTGACACATTACAGGTAGAACCCACAGCTCATTTTGGAAAATGCGCTTTGAGAAAAGAAATAGATTTGAAAAAAAACTATGTGATTTTTTTAAAATTTTTTACCAAATCATTCCTATCAAAAATACCTAGTTGATAATAAATTTTCAGAAAAGAAAACAATCGTGTACAGAGGACCAGTTTCGAGTAGTCAATGTTAAATTGTAGCTTAGTTGAAATTGAGCTAGAGCCGAAAAACAAGCGACACTAGAAAGAAGTAAAGAGCTGGATTGAAATCATGAAAAAATAACGCAGAGGCAAAGTAGAGCTTCACACTAAGCAACTAAGTCGACGAAACTTTTTTTGAATTGTCGAGAAAAGTTAGATCATCCAATTTTTTCATGTTTGCCTCAATTTGTTCTGAATAAAAATTGATAGTTAAACATATATCAAAACAATACTTAAGATGCACTAACAAAGCCGAAACGTTTTGAGCAGACATCCTTTGCGCCAAAACCAAACTTTTTGAATAATCCAATGTTTCAATTTTCATAAATTACCTCTCAAAAGAACCTCACGCATAAAAACTTGATTGCTCATCCAACAAAGCAATATAAGCAACAATCGCACAAGTACTAAACCAATCAAATGTAAGTCGAAAAAAACTCAAGCTCAGCAAAAAAAAAAAGAAAAACGTAGAAATGAAAAATATTTTGAACCGGATTTGGTGAAGTTGAAACCAGGAAAAAACATTGATCAAAACAGGTATCTGATGCGCAGATACAATCAACTGAAGTCAAGTCGTTGACGAGAACAAAATGTTTATATGAGAAAAAGTGTTTCGAATTGATAACACTTGCTAATCGTGAGTACAACAATCGCACAAGTAGTAGTAGTAGTTGAGGAATCTCCAAACTGGGGAAGGGTTGAGGTGAGCAGGGCGCAGATTAGGGCAGGAGCAAAGTTTTGAAGTTGAAAAGTAACGGCAAAAAGACTCTTGAGTTTGTTTTAGTGGTGATAAATTGAAAGAGCAAAAAAGTTTGCTCTGCTCCAATCCGCGCCCTGCTAATCTTCCCCTTTATTGGAGGTTACTTCGCTACCACTATTCTCATGCATACTTACATACTCGCATACTTATTCTTTGCTAATTAATTGATTTTGTTATTAAAATTCAAAAAATGTTTTGAAAATTCGTTGAAATTCAAAAAGAAAATCTGAATTTTTCCCCAAAAAAAGCTAAAATTCCGCAAAAACGTTTGAAACTCAACTACATGCACGGCGAAGCAACAAGTCTTCGCAAGCCACAATTCGTTACAAGCAACCATTCGCAGCCTTTGTAAAAAGCGACTATTCGCAATACGCGACGACTCGTAGAAGGCTACAATTAGTCGCGGTAAAAGCTTTGATCAGATCAAAAAGAAATTAGATAAAAGATTTAATTTAAAGATCAAAGAAACAAAAAATCGAAAACGAACGAGAGACACCTTCAGTTTTTTGAGAGTATAACGGTTGCCATAGTGTTTCAGGAGTTCAACTAATCTGGCTCGGCTTTTTTGTTTTTTGCCACATTGGCGGCAATTTCTGCGGTTGTTAGTCTCATCATTTTGTTCTCCAACAGAATTTATTCTTTTTTTTCAGGAACTGAATAAATTAAGTAATGGTAGATTGAGCACGCCTTATCCCTATCTGGAAACCCCTATGCCATCCCTCGAACGAACATTTGGTTTTTTGTCTTTCTTTTTTGGCGCATTTTCGAACTGATTTCAGTATGAAATAGGGAATTGCCCAACTCCTCCCGCGTCCTCGGAGGATTATTCAAACCCTAGTTGATTCAAAATAATCCAACAACGGTATTCATCACTTTTGTCGGTAACTTCAGAGCATAGAGCAGCCATGCCGATTTCGAAGTCAATTGCGGGTATTAGTGCCAGAGCAACTAATGACTTTAGAAGCATGCGCATTTTCTTATCTTCCCGATAAACTGGTGCTAATTCGATCTCTTGCAATTTGCATAAATTGGTCTGAGAAAAATGAATGAAGCAGTTTTTTTAGCTACTCCATTGAATGCCTTCTGAAAGGCGTTAACTAAAGCTTTTTCAAAATCTAACACAATCTGTGAGAGCTCAAGTCTTGTATTGTTTTTTTTTCAATTTTGTTAAGACTTGGATATGTTGTTCTTCACTTTTTTGTGAAGAAAAAAGACTAATGCATGAATTGTAAAAGTTTGACAAACTAACGCGGGACATGCTTTAAATGTCCCACCTACGTGCGAGACTGTGTTGCTCTCCAAAACTTCTAAGACCTCGTCAATGGCAAATTTTAACATTCGGCCTTTTTCATCCGGCTGAAATCGAAAAGGCAAAAAATATCACTCCTCGCGGTCCTGCTTAACGCGAAAGGCACATCAATGTCTTTTAATGAGTGGGGGCGGAATCAGTTGCTCGTTGCCGTTGAACAGTTCTGGCGAGTGACTTGTTTTTAGGCAAGTTAACAACTGTTTCGAGGCTAATATACCCAGTATTTTTCACCTAGACGATCCTGGGAGGCGCCAATGTTTTCTTTCTGTTTGAAAGCACATTTA